TAGCAACCACTGACCTGCTGCTGTAAAGTACTGAGTAGAGCACCAGATGTAGCTGGTAATAGTATCCAGCAAGTGCACAGTTTTCTCTTGTTTGAGTAACGTTTCATTGAAACGGTAAATTTGGCAAAATTCTTCGCATTTGCATTGCCCTTCAAGCGGTATCATGATGGTTATTAACTTTATTTGTAAAGTCAGATTTTCTTACTCATACTCTTACTTAATCATTCTCTGCAATGCCTTGCAGGAGGCTGTTGAATGTGTCACTTGACTCTTTTCCTGTCAAAATCATCTGATTGTGTGCTGCTTACTTTAGTTAAGACAAGCATGTTATAAATGAAGAGCTGCAAAGAATATGAAACTGTACTACAGTAAAAAGCGCTTTTACTTTTGTGATGTCAGAGAGGAATGATGTCAAAAACTGTTAATTGTACAAGTTAATATATTCATTATAATACTTGGTGCACTCTTACTGCCTGCTGTCAATTACTTCTTTTAAAACATTTCTTTTTTGTTGCCATTGTTGCCTTTATTTGATTGAAAGACAGTTGAGGGGGGAGCATATGGCAGCAACATGAAGCAACTCATGCTGAGTCAGAATCAAACCAACAATAAGGCATAGCAATGGACTAATCCAAATTCTAATCTGTGTCCTTTTAACTGTAACACCAGCAGTGCAAAACAGGCTTTGCAGCAAATCAGACCCAAAAATAAAAACGTCATTATTTATTTTTTTTCCATCACCAACGAAATGCATGTTGTTTCTCACCTTTAGGCGCAACAACAAACTCATCTCTGGCTTTAGGCTCAACACACTTCACTGATCCATTATTTCTGATTCATTGTACACATCCCAGGTGATTTTTGGGTTGAACTGCGACTTTCTCCTGTTCTAAGTGTTTGACCCTGAACTGAGGACGATTTGATATCAATATAAGACTCATCTGCTTTTAGGGATGTATGTCTTTATTTAGAATGAATGTGTGAAAAAGTCCAAAAGTATTAACAGGCCAATTTAGTCTTGGTTTTTTCATTTAATTCGTAAACAATAACAAAAAAGCTGAATATCTGCAAATGCTTGGTGATGGACACTGAAGATTTATCCACATATAATCTGACTATATGCATCTGATGGGTCTTGAGAAGGTCCAGTATGTACATGCAGCACAAACACACCAGAGTGTGACTTTGAGAAGATGAAGTGCTGATTATCCAGCGCTCACCTTCAGCCTCTCGATAGCCTCCTCGCTGCCCGGGCTGAACATGATGCGGTCGTGCAGACTGGCAATAGATCCGGCACGGCTGGACAAGGCTGAGAGAGACGGAGAGGGACTCATCCCAGTCATGGCATTGGTCACTGTGGAGAGATCATCCCTTTGATTCACAGCTTGGCCTTTATTGTTATTGTTCTTGTAATCGGATAGGTCTGTCGGGTTGGGACAGGGCATGGGGAGCGGACGGGATGTGGGGTCGGGGTAATCGATAATAGGGAGTAAAAGAGCGGAGAAAATGCAGACAGAAAAGGAAGAGAAGGGAAAATAGAAAAGAAAAAAAGATATGTGGCTTGAAACAAATTTAACTCACAGAGAGAAATCTGAACTGCTAGTGTAGAAGCAAGTGCAGCACCAGCGGAAAGCCACACACAGAGAAGATCAACTTAAATGATGCAACAAGGAGGCCATCCAGCCACAAGGAGGCTCAAAGAAAATGCAGCTAATATATGAAACGTCAAGCAGAGCGTCATGTGCAGAATCATTCAAAAACAATAAAATATAAAGCTCCCTTTGTCAGGAAATCTGATGCTCATTTCCAATCAAGCATCTTGGTAAGAAAAAAACATTGTCATCAGCTATTTATGAAAAACAAACTACGTAAGCTCGGCGGTTCTATGTGTAGAGACATAATGACTCATTTGTAAAAGGCTCTTATTTTCTGCAGAGAACAGTAGGAAGCCAGAACTCCCAATTAAGATTATTATCTAAAAGCAGCAAGATGCATTTACTGCGCAGTGTGCTTTGCTAGAATTAGTCATGTCAAAGCAGAAATCTATTTCTCTGGCAGAGAATGAGACACAGTGGTAGGTTGGTTTGACTAGTCTTGAAGTCTTCATTCGAAATTTTTGAGTCATAATTAATACATTTTCCATTTATGAAGCTACTACTCAAAATAGTTTACATCATGTTTGCAGTTTTCTGTATCTCCTTTATCTTTGTTGTGACACCTCAAAGGCCAATGATACATTCCACACCATGAAGAACAACCCTACAGCTGCTGCTATGGCAACACAGAGCAATAAATTGCCAAACTGTATCACACCCATCCATCTGGACAGGCTTACGCCCGCCAAGATGGATCACATAATATTGCCTTTGATGCTAATGAAGTCATGTATTATGGAAAGACAGTAAAAATTTATGGCATCAAATGAGACAACGACGTCAAAGATTCAATATTATGTAAGTGATTGTGCTTGTTCTGTGGCTGAAGGCTACATCATCGTCTTTCTCATCGTGGCTGCCAACAGGAGGCGGTAGAACCAGACAGACCCTGCCAGGGGAATGGGAGGCTACACTTTCTACAACTGGGAAATTAAAGGTTGGAATGAAACATATCCCATTATGATCCATAAGCTTCTTTATTATATTTCTCTGCTTTGTTGCTTTATGAATATTTAAGCTCTGTCGCACCAATGCCACAACTGTGAAGCCATACGCAGATCTCTACAGCACCATAACGTGACTCATAAGAAGGATAAAAGCCAAAATGACAAAACCTGAACATACATGCTATTAACATTAGCTTCTTGTATTTCAGTGAAAACCAATCACCTCAAATAATATGATCAATTCCTAACTTTGCCGTGGTGCTGCAGAGAACCCTGAAAAGCTACTATTTACTGTCACAGTAAGCGCCTATGATGCTAAGCTGCTGAGCAAAAGCAAGAGCAAAAAACACACATTTCAAACCCTCTATATCAGCACCAGATGCTCGATATGCTGGGAGAAGAGGAGACAAAGAGAGAGAGAGAGAGAGAGAGAGAGAGAGAGAGACAGAGACAGAGAGAGAGAGAGAGAGAGAGAGAGAGAGAGAGAGAGAGAGAGAGAGAGAAAAGAGACAGCACAACACCTTTAGACAACATGTTCATTTATTAGTTGCTAAACATCTGAATGGTGCAGTCAACATAATCATAATATGCTTTCAGCATATGATGCATAACTCTGAAATTTTGATTCCTAATCATGTCTTTCTCCGGCAAATTAACTGCTCTTGCCACAACAATATTTAAAAAACTTTAAAGGTGCATTCAGGAAAATATTTTTATATGGTTCTATTTTGGGGGTTTATCAGAATATGTTAACATGCTTTATTGTTCTAAAAACACACTATTTTCCTCATACTGCACATTGCTGCAGCACTTCTTCTCACCCTCTTTCTAAAATGTGCTGATTAAACTTCTGTCTTTTTAGGGCCCCCCTCCTGAAAAGCCAAGTGCTCTCTGATTGGTCACCCGGCCCAACAAAAGCAAGGTAATGCTGTTAAATAGTATAAACCCAGTGAATGAAAGGGGAATACCTATAATGCATAATATGGACTCTTTCAAGGTGAACCACAGCAGTAAAAGTGGGATTGCATCCTGGTATAAGTAGATCTTTGACCTACAGTATGTTGATTTCTGTTACAGTACCAATATTTATAGAGCAGATAGGGTTTTACTGCCAGTATTGATCATTTAATTTTAAATGAACACAAAAGAAAACATTTCAGAACGTTACTTGTTGCATAGCTGACAGGAGCTAAAGCTAATGATGTTTTGTTTTGTTTTTTTTTAACTTGTGGTAATCTAATATTAGCTGGATTGATATGGTTGCTCCAGAATTAAATGCCTGCAACTACACCATTTCTCTTCAACATGTAAGGACTTCTGGTCCTACTGGAGTTGAAAAAGAAATCTTTGTCTGTTCATTTCCATTCACTTCTTCACATTGATTTGTTGCTCTGGTTATTACTTTGCTCCCAGCCGATCTGAAAACATCTCAACACATGCAATGTTTGTGAGCAGAGGGAGAATATAAGCTTGTGAGGGGAGCTGTGTGGGTTGAGTTGAAGCTGACAGTGTATCACTGAGAACAGTGAGCATACTTATAAAAAAAGGTGTAAAACCAGCACAAAGAATTTGAAATAAATCTACAGTTAATGATCCCTTACTCTCAATGATGTCGCCCAGGCCCTGGGCGTAGAGGAGATCTTTCAGACGAGACACCTCCTCTTTCAGCTCACGCACCAATCGGTTGTTGGGATCCTCATTAATGACAGCGTTACAGCGAATCTGTTTGGCACGGTCAGCATACCTGAGGACACAAAGGAAGGTATCATTGAGCACAATGACACAGGTGAGAGAGGAAACACACACACACACTCATGACTCCCCTGAGTTTATCCACAATTTTGCAGCCTGGAGATGCAGCTGCAACTCATGAAGGGTGTTTGAAATGTGAAACTGATGCAAGCCACTGAGGAAAACACACATTACGCAACACTTTGGTTTCACTGGCATCAGTGTCCTTCAGAGCCACATTCATCAGCTGTGTGGGAGGACAACTATGCAGCAGAAAATGCACTGTCTGCTCTCTACCTGAGTGTGCTGAGCGTCTCGTCGTAGTTGATGTCAGCTGGACTCAGGGCAGCAACCATGGCAGTCCGAGAGTTTCCCCCTTACACAGAGCAGAAAGGACATTTGAATGATTTGGATTCAGCTGTGTAGACCTAATTTAACATTACTAGTTAGAAAAACAAATACCCAAGTTTTCTCTCAGGAGCCAAGTCAAAACTGAATCTCTGTAAGGAATGAAGCTTTCCACTTTCTTCTTCTTTTTATTCTGTATAATATAATAAAAAAAGAAAATCCAATGAAAGTCATTTATTTGCATTTAGGTTAGAGAAGTAGTGAAGAAAAAAGTCCAAAACCCTGATTAATATATTCAGTACAATTACCTTATTTGGCCCAGAGTCCTACAAGGAAGCAAACAGTAAAATAACACCAGAATCAGAATCAGAATCAGAATGAGTTTTATTGCCCAGTAGATTTTTGCGCTTAACAGTGAACACTGAAACGTAAGAAATATTTAAAGAAGGCTAAAACGATTTTAAAAAAGCAAATGCTACAAGTCAATAGACAAATGAAAAGCAAGTGTAGTAAATCCAAGGAATCGTAAAAGTAAAAAGTACTAGAAACATTTTAACATGTTTAAAATATATGTATTTATTTGTTAAAGGTTATTTACCTAAGAATGTGCAAAATTACATAGTACATCGTGTAAACAACTTGAAATGTGCAAAACATGTGTCAACATAAAAGATTTTTTTCCCGACAATGTGCAACAAACACAAAAATACATACCACTTCTGCCAAAGCAGAGATGACTTTCCCTAGCGTGGTTAGAGATTTGTTGATGTTTGCTCCTTCCTGTGATACATTATGAGACAGACAGTGATTTACAATGAAAGGAAACACACTAATTGGTTCCTGTGATATAGATGTAGTGACATGGAATGCTTCCCAATTCAGAAAGCACATGTGTTTTCATGTTTTTTTTTTTTTGCTAATTTTCTAAAGGCAGTGGAGGAAAATGTTTTTACCTTCAGCCTGGTCCCTTTGGCTCCAGTAGAATCTGCTCTCTCACTGCCAGCCAAATCCACCAGACTTATTTTGCTGACCTGCAACAGTACACAAAATGAACAGACTTCGATGAATAAAATGCAACACATTAGTGCCCATAAAGAAAAAATCTATAGGTGTTCATCTTTATCCCAGACACAGGTTTCATTAAAAAACAGCTTTACAATGCGGCCTTATCATTATGACCTTCAGCCTGTCATTGATTTCCACTTTACGTCAAGATTTAAATCAGCGTCATCCGTCAGTGTGTAGATAAGCAGAGAAAGCAGCTCCATGCCACATAAATTCAGTCAGCGTGTGACAAAAATTCTCTACCTTCTCAGACGTGTTGTCTGTCTCTGCATCGTGACGTTTTTGAGTGAATATGATGTTAAAGACAGCGTGCGAGCGACTGCTGGTCTCGTTCATGTTGGTGGCAGCCACAGTCCTGCACAAAAAGTAAATCAAGTTTAATCCGTTTGTTTATTTCCCATTTGATTGACAAGGAGGACATGTTTACTGGGGTTCAAGTATAAAATGACGTTTCTTGAATGCACAAACACATTCATGAGTATTACTGCAAAACAGGGTCACTTCTAGGCTGCTTTATTACAGTGGAAATAATATATAGGAGGCAGGTTTCCCAAAGGTTACAGAAGTGAATTAATAATTGGAAGGTTGCTTGTTCAAGGCCAGAAACTGCAACATCTCCTCCTTTGAGATGAGTCGACAATGAGTATGTGTTTATCACCACAATTCATATGTTCAGCTGCACAGTATGTGACACTCTGGCACCAATGTTAGAAAAGAATGTTAAAAGATTGTTAATGTTAATTTTATTATTTTTAATTCATTTGATTTAATTTTACTAACCTGTTTAGGACATTTGGATGTGATATCATTAGATGTATTATAGGATGTGATATGTTGATTGCGGGGCTGCAAGGTAGCTTGGTGGTGAGCACAGTTGCCTTGCAGCAAGAAGGTCGCTAGTTCGTGTCCCGGTTAGGACACCCGGGATCTTTCTGCGTGGAGTTTGCATATTCTCTCCGTGCAGAGTGGGCTCTCTCCGGGTTCTCCGGCTTCCTCCCACAGTCCAAAAACATGTTGAGGTTAACTGGTGATTCTAAATTGTCCGTAGGTGTGAGTGTGCTTGGTTGTCTGTCTCTAAGTGTAGCCCTGTGATAGACTGGCAACCTGTCCAGGGTGTCCTTTGCCTTTGCCCGAAGTCAGCTGGGATAGGCTCCAGCCCCCCTTCAAATTGAAAAAGTAACTGCCAAAATATTAAGAGTTTCAGTCTTTTATGTAGCTCCAACTCCAAGAGTGATTAAAGTGACTTCCCTCAATTCAGTAGGATCTCAGAAATGTCTTCTGTGCAGTTTAACAAAGTAGCAATGCTATGAGTCATCAAAAAGATTGAGCATTTCTTTGAATATTGAAAAAAAAAAAAATAAAGCTGGAATCAACATGTGCAACATTTTTCAATAGGTTCCCAAAATCTTACCAATATTAAAAGGCATAGTAGCTCTACATACTATATAGATATTTTACAACTTAGATTTTTATTTTGTTTCAATACTTATCTCCTATCTGTTCTGTGTAAACACTGTTCATCAAAAAGTTCCTGAACTGTAATATAACTCACCCAATGAACCCAGTGGTTATATTACCAGAGATTCTCCAGAGATACAGAGAACATCATGCATAGCTGAGTTATGCCACTCAATACTCTGTCAGTTTAGTGGAGTGGCCCTTTAAGAGGCCTTCTTAGACAACGGTGTGAAGTGACAGAATGACAGGCTGCTTCCATCACCTGGCCTTGTTGCCAGAGTCCATCAGGTCCTGGATGTCGTTGTAGGAGGTGACAGCCAGCTTGGACAGGTCCTCCACGTAAGGCCCCATCAGAGGATGTTCTCGCACTCGCAGGTTCCCTTTGTTTTTGGGGTTCAGCAAGTCCCGAACACGTTCACAGTAGATTTCCATGTAGCTTACCTGTTCAAATTCATAATTAGTTTCAACACGTACAACAGGTGACAGGTTTGTGTTTATTGTACAGACGGAAAGGGAAGAAGACAGAGGGCGGCCACACTTACCTCTACAGAGTAAGACATGCTGTTGTCTGTGTTATCATTGATCTTAGTGAAAAGATCTTCACAGAGCTGGAAGGATAAAATAATGTTACTTGTGAAACTGTTTCGGAAAAATTGAGAATATTTTTTTTTGTTTGTTTTTACTATCTTCACTGGTCAAGTAATCCTAAAGCTGTTTGTACCAAGGGGATGATTCCTTGTTGATCCTTGACATCCTGTTTCCCCATCATGGTGTAGGACTTGCCAGCGCCTGTCTGACCATAAGCAAAGATGCAGACGTTGTAGCCTTCAAAGGCATGTAGCAACATCTCCTCTCCAATGTCTTTGTACACTCGCATCTGAGAGGCGTAATTGACATCCTCGGGCTGTGGACAGAGATCAATAATCAGTGCCCTAACAATTTCTCCTAAACAGCACATAGCAAATCCATGTACATGTATCAGTGTGTTGTGTTGAGCTGCAGGAGAGCAGAAAGAGTTACCGAAGTGTGGGACCAGTAGGAGTAATCAAAGTTGAAGCTCTTGTTGTCTTTGGCCTGCTTGGGGTTGATGATGGCTGAAAGACAGGACAAGAAACACGGGTCAGAATAAGGCTGAGAGCCACCCCTGTGAAACTGTATCCAAGCTCAGTCGGTGTCATGTTATGCTAATAGAGCTGGATGGGTTTAGCCACCTCTTCTTTCTGTACCAATACTTATCTTTGGGATTTAGGGACCAGAAAACTATTTTTAAAAATTCTTAGTGTGGCTTGTGGTATAACTGTAAAACTTTAGAAGAAAACCATTGACATGTTTTTTTGGAAAACAACAATAAACACTCTCTCCAAGTGAAAGTGGTAACAACTGAAATACTTTACATGCATTGTGTTTTATCAGGTGCAAAGAGCAGAGTGACTGACCGATTATTGGCACAGCCAGTTATCAGATCTGATATTCTGTCATGTCCGTCAAGTTTACGTTTTATGTTTGCACATTTTATGTCTTGTCTTTCCTGTATTATTTTTTAATCACTAACCTGTTGTCTCTGTTTTAGATTCACTTCCCCCACGCCCTTCCCCCATCTCATCACACCTGCTCCGTGATTGTTCCCCTCACCTGTTTCCCATCTTCCCTCATTACCTCTTGTATTTTACCCTGTGTGTCTCATAGTCAAATTGCCAGTTCGTTGTACTTCACGGTCCTCGTCCCAGCATTTCATAGTCAAAGTCGTAGTCTGTTTTGTGCACGACCTCGTTTCTGCCTTTGACCTTGCCTTTTTGCCTCTTGTCTTTGGATACTTCTGCCTCACTGATTAATCACCTGTGTACCGAACCCTGCCTTGTAATAAAATTGCTTTTCTGCCTGAACCTGTGTGTGTTGTGCAATTGTGTCCACCTGTTCCGTGCTTAGTGAGTTCTTAACATATTCAGAATGTTGTGGAATGTTTTGCTTTGATGTAGCTGCTTCTCTATGTTTGTAGTCATCAGTGTGCGGTCTTGAGCAATGCCCCACCCACAGCACGATCTCACTGTGTCACAAATAATAGTTGATCATCACTGAAAGATAAATGTTGAGGTCTCTTCTAAATAAGGATGTATAAGATAGGCTTTTAAACTAATTTTGTGTTATTCTAACTTTTCACACCAAATGTTTATTTTTACTGCAAATAAATATCAGTTACTTGCAAGGCACATCTAATTGCATTTTCTTTTTGACATATATATTGGTATTTGATTTGCAATACAGACTTTAAGTCAAACTTGGTTCTATGTTCATGGTGTGATAGATTTAAAACATGTGGAGTATTGCATAATGAGATACCATTGAAAGGGTGACTGTCAAACAAGGAAGATGGCAGGAATTTGAACAACGAATAGCATAACTGTCACGGTGGGGTAACAGGGAACCCAGGTGCGGACACAGATCAGGAAGGCAGGCGAGGTGTACAAAAAGATTTATTAAACAAGGATAAAAAACTGAATTTAAACTGAGGTGTGGAAACTGAACTGAGGGGGAAAAACAGAATAGGAAAATCAAACTGAATTACAAAGGGGGTAAAACCAGACAAACCTAAGAAAACCCAAGTAATCCTAATATAAAAACTAAACAAAACAGACAACTGAGCTAAATCAACAAAACGGGGATATTCACAAAAGGGGACAAAACTGAGGGAGCAGACAGGCTCGGGGAATCCAGGCAGGAAGCAGGGTGGGAACTGGTGGCAGGAGAAAGCTGGCTGGGGGAATGCAGACTAGAGACAGAGCGGGGACCGGCAGAAACATGAGGGCTGAATGTCTATGGTCTGGCAGGGTGTGGTGAAATGAACTGGTATTTAAAGGGAGCTGAGGTGATTGAGAGCAGGTGTGTCTGAAGTTGCAGTTGTCAGAGATTGACAGCTGCACTCACCAGCCACTTTATTAGGTACACCTTGCTAGTACCGGGTTGGACCCCCTTTTGCCTTCAGAACTGCCTTAATCCTTCGTGGCATAGATTCAACAAGGTACTGGAAACATTCCTCAGAGATTTTGCTCCATATTGACATGATAGCAACACGCAGTTGCTGCAGATTTGTCAGCTGCACATCCATGATGCGAATCTCCTGTTCCACCACATCCCAAAGGTGCTCTATTGGATTGAGATCTGGTGACTGTGGAGGCCATTGGAGTACGGTGAACTCATTGTCATGTTCAAGAAACCAGTCTGAAATGATTCGCGCTTTATGACATGGCGTGTTATCCTGCTGGAAGTAGCCATCAGAAGATGGGCACACTGTGGTCATAAAGGGATGGACATGGGCAGCAACAATACTCAAGTAGGCTGTGGCGTTGACACGATGCTCAATTGGTACTAAGGGGCCCAAAGTGTGCCAAGAAAATATCCCCCACACCATTACACCACCACCACCAGCCTGAATTGTTGAAACAAGGCAGGATGGATCCATGCT